CGCAGCAGCAAGCGGCAGCTCGGGCTGGCAGCGGGGCCAAGCGGCAGCGCCCCAGGCAGCCCCGGCTCCCTGCGGGGGACACGCGGGGACGGGTCTGCATGCGGGGGGCCATCCTGAGGACGTACATCTGCAATGTCGTCTTCAAGGCTCTCTTGGAAGTGGCCTTCATTGTGGGCCAGTACGCCTTGTACGGGTTCCAGCTGAAGCCCCTCTACATCTGCAGCCGCTGGCCCTGCCCCAACACTGTCAACTGCTACATCTCCCGGCCCACTGAGAAGACCATCTTCATCCTCTTCATGCTGGGGGTGGCCTGCGTGTCCCTGCTGCTCAACCTGGTGGAGATCTACCACCTGGGTCTCACCAAGTGCTGGCAGGGGCCAAGCCCGAAGTCCTGCACCCTGCCCAGCCCTGGTGGCCCTGCGGGGCCCCACAGCACCCGCATCACCCTGCCCGGCAGTGGCAGCCCCGTGGCTGCTGGCAGATCCCCCCATGACTTGGCACCCCTGGGGAAGGCAGGTGCATGGCTGGGGGTGGCCAGTGGGTCCCATGGGAAGGCGCGAGCAGCAGACCTGGCAGTGTGAACATGGCCTGCAGGGATGCAGAGGGATGGGTAATGCATGGGAAGCCACAGTTGTGGTTCTGTCTCCGGGCCCTACCAGGCTCATAGCATGGACCCCACAACCAGCACAAGAGATGGGCATGGGCCCAGGGACATGGCTCAGCCGCCCTCTGTGCTCCTGAGAGCAGCAGGGCTGAAAGTAGAGCTAGGCTGGGGCAGGGTCCTGTCAGCCCTGGGGGAGCAAATAAACACCCACTGCGCCTCACTCGACTACTGCTCTGCCCACGGGCACCACGGCATCACTCTCCGACCGGTCTGTTCCATGGACACACTATGTGGCCAGGGCAGGGTCACCGCTGGGGTGGGTTGGGCTGGGCTGCAGCCTTATGGGCAAGGGATGGACAGGGAGAAGCAGGGCAGGGACAGGCAGGGCTGCCAGGCCAGCACAAGCAAGCACGGGGTCAGGGGCCATCCTAGCATGCCAGAGCTGGCAGCGCACCAGGGGACAGACAAGGTAGGAAATGCAGGCAGCACAGACAGGCAGGGATGGACAGGAGTGAGGTGCACAGCAGCAGTGGGACACTGGCCCTGCTCTCCTGCAGTGCCCACCCTGCCTGGGGGTGAAAAGCAGGGGCTGCCAAAAGTTTTCCGCGTCTTTATTTGAAATGAATGGTTTCCAGAGACACAGGGTTAGTCCTACTGCCCTGGCATCACTACAACAAGACTGGTGAGTGGCTCACTCTCCACATGGACACAGAGAACAGATGGCCCCAGGCCAGGGCCCAGAACAATATATACAGGCTCAACAGGAGACCCATGTACAGCTCAAGAAAACCGACCAGAACACGAGGAAGGGCAGGAGGCAGCAGGGAACAGCACAGCTGGAGGCAGGCTCGCCCTGGGCAGGGCACTGGCACCCCACTGCTTTGGGAGGAAGGGGGAGGCCAGGCAGAGCTCCTCGCTTTTGCCAGTGGCTGGCCCGTTTTTGCCAGTGGCTGCCCGAGCCCCTGGCCAGAGCAGAGGGACCCACTGATGGCACCTTGCACCAGGGAGGGGGATTACGCCAGGACAGGGGACAGTGGGGAGAGAGGGGCAGCCCTGGCACAGACCCTTCTCCATCAGTTGACAAAATTGAGGGAGGCGGCCCGGCTGCGTATGAGGGAGGCATCCCTGCGGTGAGGCCAGGTCTCTGCCCTCATGTTCCAGAGCTGGCTCCCTCTGCTCCCTGAAGTCAGCCCAAAACTTTCCTGCCCCTGG